GTGTGTGTGTGTGTGTGTGTGTGTGTGTGTGTGTGTGTGTGTGTGTGTGTGTGTGTGTGTGTGTGTACTCACCTATACTCGCCTATTTGTGCTTGCGGGGGTTGAGCTCTGGCTCTTTGGTCCCGCCTCTCAACCGTCAATCCACTGGTGTACAGGTTCCTGAGCCTACTGGGCTCTATCATATCTACACTTGAAACTGTGTATGGAGTCAGCCTCCACCACATCACTGCCTAATGCATTCCACCTGTTAACTACTCTGACACTGAAAAAGTTCTTTCTAACGTCCCTGTGGCTCATGTGGGTACTCAGTTTCCACCTGTGTCCCCTTGTTCGCGTCCCACCAGTGTTGAATAGTTCATCCTTGTTTATCCGGTCGATTACCCTGAGGATTTTGTAGGTTGTGATCATGTCTCTCCTTACTCTTCTGTCTTTGTGTGTGTGTGTAACTCAAATTATCAACTACCGTTGCTCGTCCTGTTTTATTACTACCCAACAGTTGCCTCCCAACAGAACTGTTGTTGACCAACGGGGAGCTTGGCGTTGCGGGCTACTGTTTACGCTACGGCTGACTTACCTGCTGATGCAAGAGTTCTGGTTTATCCAGATGGCTGCTGACGCCTCCTTGTGAATACAAGGAGCAGACAGCAGACTTCTGCTGACGCAGGCTCCACTCAGCAGGCATTTGCTGACGCTGGACGTCTGCTGACGCTGTTTTAACAGCGTTTAACGACTGAATGATGTGATAATGGTGGTAAGAGATGAGGAATTGTGTGATGGGTTCTGTTCAGGACGTGAAAGATACCTGGGTTAGCCGGACGCCTAGTTATAACGCCTCGGTAATTTTGACGAGAGAAGGTCAAGTCTTCAAGTCCAAACAATGCGTAGAAACATGGCTCGTGTTGGCCTTAACGATCCTGTCGACGTGGCTTGTAATGTGTTGATGTTAAGACAGCTCCCTGAGGACACCTGTTGTGTAGTGGGAGCCTGGGGGGCTGCTCCTGCTGCTTGTTCCCCCTCCTGCTGTTGCTCTTCCTGCTGCTGTTGCTCTTCCTGCTGCTGTTGCTCTTCCTGCTGCTGTTACGCTTTCTCCTGCTGTTGCTCTCCCTCCTGCTGTTGATCTTCCTGCTGCTGTTACTCTCCCTCCTGCTGTTGCTCTCCCTCCTGCTGTTGCTCTCCCTCCTGCTGTTGCTCTCCCTCCTGCTACACCTGCTGTTCCACCTCCTCCCTAGTGAGGTCAGCCCCCTCACCAATACCTCACCACTGACGGCATCTTTCCCTCTCTGCATCAGCACCACAGACCAGTGAGTAGGTGAGTCCCAGAGCCCAAGGTGAGTGTAATTAGTGTGCTGAGTCTAGATGAGACCTTGTGGAGGGAATTAATTCACCTTCCCCATCTACCCCTTCCATCCTCTCTTCCCATCTACCCCTCCCACCGCCACCCATTAGTATTTGCTAGACTTTATGAGTCGTAGAGAGCAATGAGTTTGTGAGTTATGAGCAGCTGTGTCTCCTGGATTCACCTGCTTCAGTCATCATTAGCAGGTATCTGATGAGAGAGAGAGAGTGAGTGAGAGAGAGAGGGGAAGTATTAGGGGAAAGCAGCAAGCCATTACGACTATATAGCACTGGGAAGGGGTCAGGATAAGGATTAGAGATGGGACGGGAGGGAAGGAATGGTGCCCAACCACTTGTGGACGGTCGGGGATTGAACGCCGACCTGCATGAAGCGAGACCGTCGTCCAGTCCAGGTTGTCGGAGAGAGAGAGAGAGTGTGTGATAGAGAGATGGTGAGAGAGAGAGAGAGTGTGTGATAGAGAGAGGGTGAGAGAGTGAGAGAGAGGAGGAGAGAGGGTGATTTGTTAAGTTCCTGACATAAATTAACAAGGCATCGTTAACATGGGACACAGGATATTATCGAAGCCGCCTTCGTAGCGCGAAACCTGTTTATCGCATTCCGGTTGCAGGTTCCGACTTTATAACTACCGCGAACGGCGGTCCGCGCCATTACCGGGAGAAGCGACGCTGGTACTTAACGACTCCTTAATTAAACGAGGCAGTTAAGGTGTTTTGTGAGTTACAATTACCCGACGCGGTGTAGTGATAATTGTTAGTTATTCTTTTTTCAATTCAGCGGTGAGTGGGAGCCACGGTGCGGCGGTCATACTCGCCAGCCATTTGGTCAGGGTTCGAGTCCTGGCCAAGGAGGATTGACTGGGAGACAGTCCTTATAACTGGTCGCCGCTGTTTAACTAGCAGAAATTAGGTACCTGGTTGTAAGGCGATTGGCGGGTTGAGTTCCAGGGATATCTAGTGGTTAAGACTTGTCATGAACAATGGGAAGATGTCCTGTTAACAGGAGTCGGGTGGTCCTGTTAACAGGAGTCGGGTGGTCCTGATCTCCTCCTGAAACTTTCCATTCATTTGTTAAACAGAAAAACTGAGATATATTGTGTGTGTGTACTCACCTAGTTGTGTTTGTGGGTGTTGAGCTCTGCTCTTTCGGCCCGCCTCTCAACTGTCAAACAACTGTTACTAACTACTTTTTTCCCCCACACCACACACACACACACCAGGAAGCAGCCCGTGACAGCTGACTAACTCCCAGGTACCTATTTACTGCTAGGTAACAGGGGACATTAGGGTGAAAGAAACTCTGCTCATTGTTTCTCTCCGGCACCCGGGATCGGACCCTAGACCACAGGATCACGCATCCAGTGTTCTGTCCGCTCAGCCACCCACAGTCACTGATAGGTCAGTATTGTTAGGTAAGTGCCACAAACACTCCACTACACCACCACCAAAGTCCACCATTCCATTACGTAATACACCAAACTACGCACCATACGCCTCTACAATTATCTCCTCTCGGCATATACGCTCCCTATTATGCCCACTGATAGCGCTTCCGGCCAGCGTCACCAATTTATTCCCCATGATCACGACCCAAACAGGTTCGGCACACCTCGCGCCTTAGAGAATGGTCTAAGACCTGAAGGAAATGTGTACCCTACTACGTCATCGCCGCTCTGCCAATCAGCCTCTCCCTTGTATGTACGAGGTGTGACGTCACTGTCGCTCTGCCAATCAGCCTCTCCCTTGTATGCGCGAGGTGTGACGTCACTGTCGCTGTGCCAATCAGCCTCTCCCTTGTATGCGCGAGGTGTGACGTCACTAGCTCTGCCAATCAGCCTCCCTTGTATGCACGAGGTGTGACGTCACTGTCGCTCTGCCAATCAGCCTTCCTTGTATGCACGAGGTGTGACGTCACTCGCTCTGCCAATCAGCCTCTCCCTTGTATGCGCGAGGTGTGACGTCACTGTCGCTCTAGCAATCAGCCTCTCTCTAGTGTGCAGGAGATGTGTGACGTCAGTATGGCGTCAGACTATGCAAACTGATTCAGGTTTGTGGACCCTACTGGTCCCGTTGTTAAGAGCTGGGGGACAGTCATGGACTAATAGGGTGATGGATCTACATGTTTGTAAACAAAATGTGTTTATTATCTGATGTAGCAGTAACCTTATGACGTGTGTGTGTGTGTGTGTGTGTGTGTGTGTGTGTGTGTGTGTGTGTGTGTGTGTGTGTGTGTGTGTGTGTGTGTGTGTGTGTCTGCAATTTGGTTCTGTTGCGTGATGAATGGGGCTCTGTCCTCTGTTGCAGTGAATATGAGCAACGTCTTCACTATCCCATCTGACAGTGTCAGATGAACAGTCACCATCACACAGTAATAAGACCTAACTGAATTACACCGATTAGGCAAAATCGTCAATAAATTTGTCAATAAGGACCTTAGTAATAATACTAATTGAAGATAGTAGGTGTTGAAGGCTGAGTCACGGGTTCAGGACACGAGCCAACGAGACGTTAACGAGACGAGTGTCTCCTGTGGTGTGAGGGAAGGGAAGGGGAACTATCAGGGGGGGAAAGTGCCAAGCCATTGCGACTATATAGCACTTGGAAGGGGTCAGGGTAAGGATTTGGGATGGGACGGGGGGAAGGAATGGTGCCCAACTATTTGGTGGACGGTCGGGAATTGAACGCCGACCTGCATGAAGCGAGACCGTCGCTCTACCGTCCAGCCCAAGTGGTTGGACCTCGTGGTGAGAGGGCTGGCGGGGGCTTGAGGAGTACCTGATGGCCAGATTCACGAAGCAGTTACGCAAGCACTTACGAACATGTACATCTTTCCTCAATCTTTGACGGCTTTGGTTACATTTATTAAACAGTTTACAAGCATGAAAACTTGCCAATCAACTGTTGTTATTGTTATAAACAGCCTCCTGGTGCTTCGGAGCTCATTAACTGTTTAATAATTGTAAACAAAGCCGCCTAAGATTGAGAACAGATGAACAGGTTCGTAAGTGCTTGCGTAACTGCTTCGTGAATCTGGCCCCAGGTTCGTAAGTGATTGCGTAACTGCTTCGTGAATCTGGCCCCAGGTTCGTAAGTGCTTGCGTAAGTACTTTCGTGAATCTGGCCCCAGGGCGTAGGTCCGCGCTCACCTATGTAGCCCAAATGAATTTTATTATTATTATTATTATTGCTTTTATTAATTAATATAATTATTCTTAGTAATATGATTATTTTAATTCGAGGCATGTCCCTCGATTGTTTCAAGCGTGGGTTGGACATGTATATGAGTGGGATTGGGTGGCTATAAATAGGGGCTGCCTCGTATGGGCCAATAGGCCTTCCGCAGTTGCCTTTGTTCTTATGTTCTTATCGATCATATCGACATCTTTTATCCCATAGGCGTGACTCTTGCTCACTGAGCTTAACGGGAACTGTAGGAAACTGAAGGTTAAACAGAAATTGAGACTTTGAGTTAACTTTTAGGCCATGTTGACAAGTTTCTCTTTCGCCAGGTGGATCAGTGTTGGTTGACACGAATCAGTCACATTAGTTTGATGTATTCACGAGGAAATCTTCAAAAGCAGAACGGGGGAATCGAACCCCGTGGCCTGGAAACTTGGGTTTATGTGGACCTCGTGGTTCAAATGTCCTCATGGCACTGTCTGAAAGTTTAACGTCGATTCGTCGTTAGATAAACTGGCGGAGTGTGTCTGCATGGGCAAGATGTTGTAGCTCCCTGCACGTGTATTGCATGTCTGCTGCGGTGGTGGCATGTCTGCTGCGGTGGTGGCATGTCTGCTGCGACGGTGGCATGTCTGCTGCGACGGTGGCATGTCTGCTGCGGTGGTGGCATGTCTGCTGCGGTGGGTGCATGTCTGCTGCGGTGGTGGCATGTCTGCTGCGGTGGTGGCATGTCTGCTGCGGTGGTGGCATGTCTGCTGCGGTGGTGGCATGTCTGCTGCGGTGGTGGCATGTCTGCTGCGACGGTGGCATGTCTGCTGCGGTGGTGGCATGTCTGCTGCGGTGGTGGCATGTCTGCTGCGACGGTGGCATGTCTGCTGCGACGGTGGCATGTCTGCTGCGGTGGTGGCATGTCTGCTGCGGTGGTGGCATGTCTGCTGCGATGGTGGCATGTCTGCTGCGGTGGTGGCATGTCTGCTGCGGTGGTGGCATGTCTGCTGCGGTGGTGGCATGTCTGCTGCGGTGGTGGCATGTCTGCTGCGGTGGTGGCATGTCTGCTGCGGTGGTGGAACTTGCAAAATAGATCATTCATAAAGTACTCAACAATTATCTAAGGTTCGTGTTAGTAGGCTGTGGGTGTTGGGGTAGAGGTGAGGGTGTGTGTGGGAGTACAGGTGAGCAAGGTGAGGGTGTGTGGGCGTACAGGTGAGTAAGGTGAGGGTGTGTGGGCGTACAGGTGAGTAAGGTGAGGGTGTGTGGGCGTACAGGTGAGTAAGGTGAGGGTGTGTGGGCGTACAGGTGAGTAAGGTGAGGGTGTGTGGGCGTACAGGTGAGTAAGGTGAGGGTGTGTGGGCGTACAGGTGAGTAAGGTGAGGGTGTGTGGGTGTACAGGTGAGTAAGGTGAGGGTGTGTGGGCGTACAGGTGAGTAAGGTGAGGGTGTGTGGGAGTACAGGTGAGTAAGGTGAGGGTGTGTGGGCGTACAGGTGAGTAAGGTGAGGGTGTGTGGGCGTACAGGTGAGTAAGGTGAGGGTGTGTGGGAGTACAGGTGAGGGTGTGTGGGCGTACAGGTGAGTAAGGTGAGGGTGTGTGGGTGTACAGGTGAGTAAGGTGAGGGTGTAATGGTATGCTGAGTGAGGTAAACGAAGTATGAAACTGTAAGGGGGGTTGTGTACTCACCTAGACACGCTTGCACAGTCAATGGCTAGCTTGTAAGCCCCGCCTTCCTAGTAACTAGAGGCAGGGTATTCACCTGCATTGACTCCTGTCACAACCGACCATCCTGACAGTCTATACTTGAAAATTACCTCCTGTGGCAGTGGTTCATCTGTTTCTGTTCCCCATCCATGAGTTCCACTTATACTCATGTGTGTGTACTCTTCGCCTTCTTTGGCAGTTCCAAAAATATGTTAGTCCTTAATATCCTGTTTCCTGCGGCGCGGTAAGGCTGAGTAGCCTTAGCTGTTCACTGTTGATGATATTCTAGATCAAGACATCTAGTATATCAATAGACTTTTTCCTAGTTCTGTTGTTGTTATTTTTGTAGGAGTTGCATTATACGAGGGTTAGTCTTAAGATCACTTTATCCAGGATTCATCAAAGCATTAACGTGATCACTTAAGGAACCTATACACTCAGACGAGGAGTCACAATAACGTGACTGAAAAATGTTGACCAGACCACATACTAGAAACTGAAGGGACGACGACGTTTCGGTCCGTCCTGGACTACACGACTTGATAAATGGTCCAGGACGGACCGAAACGTTGTCGTCCCTTCACTTTCTAGTGTGTGGTCTGGTCAACAATTACATGTTTATCTGTTCATGGCGCCTTAATTGGTATTTATCAGTTTATTGCGAGTTTGGAAACATAGCAATGCGTTGATACTACAATATTGCTATAGAAACCCTCGTGGGCTAATCAGAGCTCATAAACTGCTTAATAAACAAAGCTGTTATGATTAAGGAAAGATGTACAGGTTTCGTAAAAGTGGTTGGGTATATGCTTGATGAATCGTGAGCCCGGAGGCTGCCCCAATCATTTGATTGTCTTGCGTACGGTGTTGAGTTTACGGCAGTATAGTGTAGTGTTGGTATTACGGCGAGTGAGGGTGGTGGTGAGTATGTGTAAGAGATGAGGAGAGTATGAGGTGAGTAAGGGATGGGTTAGGCACGTGTGGGGGGGGGGGGGAGAGGAACGTGGCAATCGTAGCGGTTCCGTTCTCTGTTCATCACAAGGCTGATGATTCATGCTGTTCCCTGGAATACCTGTATCGTTACTCACAGGTGTGTCCCTCCCATGGCTCTCTCTCTCTCACTCCCTGCACCCCTCTCCCTCCCCCACACACTCTCTCCCTGCACCCCCCTCTCTCTCCCCACACACTCTCTCCCTGCACCCCTCTCTCTCTCTCCCCACACACTCTCTCCCTGCACCCCTCTCCCTCCCCCACACACTCTCTCCCTGCACCCCTCTCTCTCTCTCCCCACACACTCTCTCCCTGCACCACTCTCTCTCTCTCCCCACACACTCTCTCCCTGCACCCCTCTCTCCCCACACACTCTCTCCCTACACCCCTCTCCCTCCCCCACACACTCTCTCCCTGCACCCCTCTCTCTTCCCCAACACACTCTCTCCCTACACCCCTCTCCCTGCTTCCCTCACCCTCCCCACACACTCTCTCCCTACACCCCCTCTCCCTCCCAACACACTCTCCCTACACCCCTCTCCCTCCCCACACACTCTCTCCCTACACCCCTCTCCCTCCCAACACACTCTCCCTGAACCCCTCTCCCCCCCACCCCCACACACATTCTCTCCTTTTCTCAGCCAAATACAAAGGTAAACAACCTGAGGACACACTCAGAGTGACACACTGGCGGCCAGCAAGACCTATACCTGCCTGACCCAATCAACAAAAGCGTGTCTCAATTGATCTAATTCTCCTGCTCGTCACTTCCAGTGGCACGTGAGTCACACCAATGCCAGTGTCACTTGAAGGGTCACTTGAAGGGTCACTTGAAGGGTCACTTGAAGGGTCACTTGAAGGGTCACTTGAAGGGTCACTTGAAGGGTCACTAGAAGGGTCACTTGAAGGGTCATTTGAAGGGTCACTTGAAGGGTCACTAGAAGGGTCACTAGAAGGGTCACTAGAAGGGTCACTTGAAGGGTCACTAGAAGGGTCACTAGAAGGGTCACTAGAAGGGTCACTTGAAGGGTCACTAGAAGGGTCACTAGAAGGGTCACTAGAAGGGTCACTTGAAGGGTCACTTGAAGGGTCACTAGAAGGGTCACTAGAAGGGTCACTAGAAGGGTCACTAGAAGGGTCACTTGAAGGGTCACTTGAAGGGTCACTTGAAGGGTCACTTGAAGGGTCACTAGAAGGGTCACTTGAAGGGTCACTTGAAGGGTAACTTGAAGGGTCACTAGAAGGGTCACTAGAAGGGTCACTTGAAGGGTCACTAGAAGGGTCACTTGAAGGGTCACTAGAAGGGTCACTAGAAGGGTCACTTGAAGGGTCACTAGAAGGGTCACTTGAAGGGTCACTAGAAGGGTCACTTGAAGGGTCACTTGAAGGGTCACTAGAAGGGTCACTTGAAGGGTCACTAGAAGGGTCAACGGGCCTCCATCTGGCAGTCAATGACAGTTTTCCTTCTGTGGTGAATAGTTTTTGTCTAGTTCATTGGTCAGGGAGGACCGGTGGAATCTAGAACGCGATTAGGCTTTGATAAGGGTTTAGCTAAGATATTAGGCTTTGATAACGGGTTTAACTAAGATATTAGGCTTTGATAAGGGGTTTAGCTAAGATATTAGGCTTTGATAAGGGGTTTAGCTAAGATATTAGGCTTTGATAAGGGTTTAGCTAAGATATTAGGCTTTGATAACGGGTTTAGCTAAGATATTAGGCTTTGATAACGGGTTTAGCTAAGATATTAGGCTTTGATAACGGGTTTAGCTAAGATATTAGGCTTTGATAACGGGTTTAACTAAGATATTAGGCTTTGCTAACGGGTTTAGCTAAGATATTAGGCTCTGATAACGGGTTTAGCTAAGATATTAGGCTTTGATACGGGTTTAGCTAAGATATTAGGCTTTGATAAGGGGTTTATCTAAGATATTATGCTTTGATAACGGGTTTAGCTAAGATATTAGGCTTTGATAAGGGTTTAGCTAAGATATTTGGCTTTGATAACGGGTTTAACTAAGATATTAGGCTTTGCTAACGGGTTTAGCTAAGATATTAGGCTCTGATAACGGGTTTAGCTAAGATATTAAGCTTTGATAAGGGGTTTAGCTAAAACATTAGGCTTTGATAAGGGTTTAGCTAAGACATTAGGCTTTGATAAGGGTTTAGCTAAGATAAATCAAGTTAAGGTTTGTTAGTGTTAGGTTAGATGCCTCTAACTGCGTTTTTTCATGCATTATTTTTTTCTTTCTAACACCTATCTGCTTCTGTTGCCTCACCTGCTCTCTGACCATATATATATATATATATATATATATATATATATATATATATATATATATATATATATATATATATATATATATATATATAATATAATATAGGCTTCCTGATCTTTCAAGTTACAGCCTCGCTCCTGTGCCAGGTAAGTCCACAACGGGCTCACCGTACCCCGTGCTACTTGGAACTTTTAGTTCCAAGTAGCACGGACCCTTTAGCTGAATCTATAACAACATCTTTCTTTCTCATCACGGGCTATTCATACCCGTGCCACCTCTTGGGTGACTTAATCTTCATCAATCTTTCTGTCTCAATTTGCGACATAAGGACGGTCCGGAACGTCGTTGCTGCAGCCACTCCTGGTGTGGGCTGTGGTCTCTGTTGTCAACCACGTTATTGTCACGGGGCTCTGTTTCCTGTTATGTTCAGTTGAGACACTCCTGCCCTCTTACCTGTGCCCTTCTTGCACTCTCACCCTCGTCTTTGACGTCAGCAGTCGTGCCGGATGCTGCTTCAGTGTGTTCAAAAGTTCAGGTGAACGACCCCCCTGGGGGGTGATACGACCCCCCTGGGGGGTGATACGACCCCCCTGGGGGGTGATACGACCCCCCTGGGGGGTGATACGACCCCCCTGGGGGGTGATACGACCCCCCTGGGGGGTGATACGACCCCCCTGGGGGGTGATGGGAGTCGTGGTTGTTGTGATGTTGGTAGGGGTGGGGAAGGTGTTTGTGGTTGCCACTGGTCTTCTCGGAACATGGGAGTGACAAGTGTTGAAAGTACTGGTGGAGGTCACGTTAGTGGTACAAGGTAGTGATTGTGGTTGGTGGTGGTGGTAGTGAGAACTGACACTTCTCAGAACGGGTGGTACAGGTGTGGAGTGTGTCGGTGGAGGTCGTGGTGCTGGTACAGTGTCTGGTGGTGGTTGTGGTTCTGGTAGTGTAGTGGTGGTGGTGTTTGGTTAGGATTCTGAGTGATGTGGTGGCGATATTGGTGAAGTGCGGTTGTGGACACACACACACACACACACACACACACACACACGACAAACACACACACACACACACACACACACACACACACACACACACACGACAAACACACACACACACACACACACACACACACACACACACACACACACACGACAAACACACACACACACACACACACACACACACGACAAACACACACACACACACACACACACACACACACACACACACACACACACACACGAAAAAAACTAGTGGAGCATCTGGAGCGAAGGAACTTTGTAACACAGCATCAACATGGGTTCAGGGATGGCAGGTCCTGCCTCACAGGGTTACTTGAATTCTACGACCAGGCAACAAAAATAAGGCAAGAAAGAGAAGGGTGGGCAGACTGCATATTTTTGGATTGTCAGAAAGCCTTTGATACAGTGCCACACAAGAGGCTAGTGCGAAAGTTGGAGATGCAGGCTGGAGTGAGAGGGAAGGTACTCCGGTGGATAGAGGAATACCTAAGCAACAGGAGACAACGAGTCTGTGTGAGGGGTGAGGTCTCAGATTGGCGAGACGTCACAAGTGGAGTCCCGCAGGGGTCAGTCCTTGGACCTATACTGTTTCTGGTATATGTAAATGATCTCCCAGAGGGTATAGATTCGTTCCTCTCAATGTTTGCCGACGATGCAAAAATTATGAGAAGGATTGAAACAGAGGATGATAGTAGGAGGCTACAAGATGACCTGGATAGACTGAGTGAATGGTCCAACAAATGGCTGTTGAAGTTCAACCCGAGTAAATGCAAAGTAATGAAACTAGGCAGTGGAAACAGGAGGCCAGGCACAGGATACAGAATAGGAGATGAAGTACTTAATGAAACAGACAGAGAGAAAGATCTAGGAGTTGATATCACACCAAACCTGTCTCCTGAAGCCCACATAAAGAGAATAACGTCTGCGGCATATGCGAGGCTGGCTAACATCAGAACGGCGTTCAGGAACCTGTGTAAGGAATCATTCAGAATCTTGTACACCACATATGTAAGACCAATCCTGGAGTATGCGGCCCCAGCATGGAGCCCGTACCTTGTCAAGCACAAGACGAAGCTGGAAAAAGTCCAAAGGTATGCTACTAGACTAGTCCCAGAACTAAGAGGCATGAGTTATGAGGAAAGGCTGCGGGAAATGCACCTCACGACACTGGAAGACAGAAGAGTAAGGGGGGACATGATCACAACCTACAAAATCCTCAGGGGAATCGACCGGGTAAACAAGGATGAACTTTTCAACACTGGTGGGACGCGAACAAGGGGACACAGGTGGAAGCTGAGTACCCAAATGAGCCACAGAGACGTTAGAAAGAACTTTTTCAGTGTCAGAGTAGTTAGCAAATGGAATGCATTAGGAAGTGATGTGGTGGAGGCTGACTCCATTCACAGTTTCAAATGTAGATATGATAGAGCCCAATAGGCTCAGGAATCTGTACACCAGTTGATTGACGGTTGAGAGGCGGGACCAAAGAGCCAGAGCTCAACCCCCGCAAGCACAATTAGGTGAGTACACACACACACACACACACACACACACACACACACACACACACACACACACACACACACACACACACACACACACACACACACACACACACACACACACACACACACACACACACACACACACACACACACACACACACACACACACACACACACACACACACACACACACACACACACACACACACACGACAACACACACACACACACACACACACACACACACACACACGACAAACACCAAGGTAACCACAAGGTCAGAACACACTATACTACACTAACAGGTCCAGGAGAACCACCCAGGCGTAAACACCAGCAAGCCGCTGTGCTGAATGTGTGGCTACATATCTAACATTCTTCAACGTTACATTTCCATTACATTGTATCGTAATCAGATAGCCTAGTTCTCATTGTATCGTAACTAGTCTAGTTCCCACTGTATCGTAACCTGACAGCCTAGTTCCCATTGTATCGTAACTAGTCTAGTTCCCATTGTATCGTAACTAGTCTAGTTCCCACTGTATCGTAACTAGTCTAGTTCCCACTGTATCGTAACTAGTCTAGTTCTCATTGTATCGTAACTAGTCTAGTTCTCATTGTATCGTAACTAGTCTAGTTCCCACTATCGTAACTAGTCTAGTTTCCATTGTATCGTAACCTGATAGCCTAGTTCCCATTGTATCGTAACTAGTCTAGTTTCCATTGTTTCGTAACCTGATAGCCTAGTTCCCATTGTATCGTAACTAGTCTAGTTTCCATTGTATCGTAACCTGATAGCCTAGTTCCCATTGTATCGTAACTAGTCTAGCTCCCATTGTATCGTAACCAGATAGCCTAGTTCCCATTGGCGCTGTATCCAAAAAATACAGCACCACATCTGCCTGTATTCACGATACAGCTTAGATAACAATAATAATATTTAAAGTGCATATAATACATGATACAGAGAAGAATTCGTAGGCAAGAAATATACATTACATAAGCCACTAATACACTGAGTGTTTCAGGCATACAGATTTATCATGATTTCTTTATATATACAATGGTATTTATTTCAGTCATACAAAATACACGTAGTTTATATCTGTGTATTGTATACACAAGCTGAGGCAACATGGGTGAAGATCTGATCTCTCGTGTGAAGGGTTTGGGAGTTATACTTTCTAGTATAACTTATACTTTCTTTACTATAGTAAAGTTATACTTTCCCAAAGGTATAACTTCGGGAAGAGTTGAGTACAGTTCTGAGTATAACTGGGATGAGAAGGAGTGGATGTCAATCCTTTCAGCAGTTTTCATAGGGGGGTCATTTGACCGTAACTACAGGGTGGTTGAACCCTGCCCCGAGCGTAGTTCTCATCCTGTAACTACGCTTCGGTAATTAACAAACAACATGTCAGATATAGACGTCGTTGAAGCTAATTCGATGCCAAGTTTTATATGTAAATAGGATAAATACGCGAGAAATGCAACATTGCATTAATCTAAGAACGTTCGGCTTCCACACACACAAGCCCAAATTCCCACGAGTACAAATAGGTAAGTCTACTGGCTCACACGTGCACACACACACACACACGCAAACACACTCGCAAATCATCACACTAGCTCGCATGTTTTGTCTCCGTTTAATTCCCTGCACCACCCCGACTCCTCCCTGGACCTGATTAACCTTTATCCTGTTGTTCTGGAGTCTGCAATTAGCCTGTAGCCGTTCTGCTAATTAGAGCTATCGAATATGAGAGACGGAACTGCCGGCTTGAACGGTGGCAACGGTTAACAGGTCTACGAGTCCCGTTGTGAATCCTGTCCACGGATCCTTTAAACTGGATGCGAAACATCCGTTGGTTTTCTCTGTTGGCTACGATCTACTTCTCTTCTGTAACCATGAGCTTCTAGTATCAACTTCGACTGGTATTTCAAGCCTATAAAGCCAGAGTGTAATCGCCAACCCAGAGCAACATGGTCTTACCTTACGATAACAATACAGTTTCCTACGACACTCATCAACAACATCTCTCTCTCACGTCTGCTGTAGAGACGTGAGAGAGTCGACAACAATCTCTACACCTAATGTATTCTAAGATGTAAATTGGGCCAGCCACAACAGTAGCAAAACCAGCTAGAACCGTCACGAATGACTGCCCAATCCGTTTCGTGAATACAGTTACTCGCGTAAATTCTTGGCCACCTGACACCTCATTTCCTTCTGTTTATGTCCTTCTCGCACTCAAGTGACCCTCCCCTCTGGTCTGCAGTCTCGAGTACCAGGTCTGGGGTCTCGTGAACCAGGTTAAGGGATACGAGGACCAGGTCTAGGACCTCGAAGCCCAGGTCTGGTGCGTCGAGGACCAAGTCAAGTGGTCTTTATAAATAGTACATCATTGGAAGACCTCACTCAACCCGGTCTCCAATTGACTCATTCGCCTCATCTTTGTCCTGGTGGGTCTACCCATCATTATTACTGGTTCATGACTCATCCTCTGGTGATCTTGAGTAAGTGAGTCACCATTCATCAATGAGACCATTCTGGTGAGGCTTCCACGACCAGTCTTTTGTCTTCCACGACCAGTCTTTGTCTTCCACGACCAGTCTTTTGTCTTCCACGACCAGTCTTTTGTCTTCCACGACCAGTCTTTGTCTTCCACGACCAGTCTTTGTCTTCCACGACCAGTCTTTGTCTTCCACGACCAGGGAGGAACTGGCTTTACATATAATTTATGTTCATATGTGAGAAAATGAGAATAAGAAATAAGGGAAAGAGGGAGAGAGGGAAAGTGGAGAGAGGGGGGGGGTAGAGGAGAAGTGAGGGAGGGGTAGAGGGAAGATTGTGAGAAGTGAGGGAGGGGGTAGAGGGAAGATTGTGAGAAGTGGGGGAGGGGGAGGGGGGGGGGGAGCTGCAACTGAGTAAAATTTATCCAACTCAGGTGGGTAATGGACTCAAAAGTACTCTCAATTAATCCTCCAGCACGCTCCATCACACACACACACACAGGGTGGGTGGTGGCTGAGTGGACAGCGCTCTAGACTCGTGGACCTAGGGACCGATTCGATCCCCTGGCACAGCCGGAAAAACAAAGGGGCAGTGATTCTTTCACCCTGATGCCCCTGTTACCTAGCAGTAAATAGGTAGCTGGGAGTTAGTCAGCTGCTACGGGCTGCTTCCTGGTGTGTGTGTTTGTGTGTGTGTGTGTGTGTGTGTGTGTGTGTGTGTGTGTGTGTGTGTGTGAAAAAATAGTAGTTAGTAACAGTTGATTGATTGACAGTTGAGAGGCGGCCGAAAGAGCAGAGCTCAACCCCCGCAAAAACAACTAGGTGAATACACACACACACACACACACACACACACACACACACACACACACACACACACACACACACACACACATCGAGGCAGGCAGCGCGCTTCAAAGGTACACGACGTCATCAAAATATTCCCCCATTACCAGCCGTAATAAGTAATAGGGAAAGTAATTTGTGGCCCCATTACAGTGTAGAGCAGTTACTGTGATCATTCATCATTCGCACTTAATCCACCACACTTTCAATGCTATTCACTCAGCGGCTAAAATACGGTGCTTTAGTATACTTTGAAACACTTCAGTATTGATGGTCTCTTGGACTATTGAATCCGCCTTGATTCATTCGGATCAGGGCCAGATTCACGAAGCAGTTACGCAAGTACTCACAAACGTGTACATCTTTCCTCAATCTTTGACGGCTTTGGTTACATTTATTAAACAGTTTACAAGCATGAAAACTTGCCAATCAACTGTTGTTATTGTTATAAACAGCCTCCTGGTGCTTCGGAGCTCATTAACTGTTTAATAATTGTAAACAAAGCCGCCAAAAATTGAGTAACGATGTACAGGTTCGTTGGTGCTTGTGTAACTGCTTCGTGACTCTGGCTCCTGGTTAGTCTAAACTACTTTATATGTGACGATTATAAGAGTCTGACTTGCAACTCCGTAAGAAAGGCAACTGTTTTCCCAACCCAGAAAATATATATTGTAGTAGATGTGACACAGAAAATGAGGTTAGGAATCGGGGTATAAGATTCCCGATGGGTTAGAAAGGCGGGGTCCAAGAGCTAAGAGCTCAATCCTGCAGGCGAAAGTTGTAAACAGATGGCATAAACAGGCTTAGTGTTGAAACTTGCAGACTCTGCTGATGGCGATGAGGACATTGGCAATGATGACAGAAACACCGGAACCCGTGTGAAGACGGTGGAGGTGGGCGGTGGTGGGCCCACCCAGCCAGTGGCCCGCCCACCCAAGCCTCCTATTGCTCCCCGCGCTGACTATGTGCGCCTGGCATTCCCAGCTGGAACATCCACCAACGATAAACTTAAATGGTTCGAACAACTTTCTACTAAGTTCTCCAAAACACTCCTCGATATAGTCCGACCTAGACCAACATCCCCTTACATCTTTGTGTCACGTAAGCAGGAAAATATCATCACTCAACTGGTTAAAGGTGAGATTGCTAATATTGTTTTCACCAGAGAAGACATCATCAATCGACCTAAAAAATTTAAGGAATATATTGTTACCAGTTTTCCCAAAGAGTATCCTCTTGATAGAGCTTATACCCTTGACGGGGTCTACAAGGCAAGACGGATATATAAGGATGGTCATCCTCTCAACAGGATCATCATTGTTTGGAATGGCGGTGACCCTCCCCCTGAACATTACACCTTTTTTGGACATTTCATCCCATCAAGTCCTATAAAATCTTGGGTATCCCCCCCTGTTGTTTGTTATAAGTGCCATGGTACTCATCATATCTCTAGGTACTGTCAACATGACCCTGTGTGTGGGCTCTGTGCTGAACAGCACCAAACAAGGGAGTGTCCTCACAGGGACCCCCCTACCCTTGAGGATGGGGAGGAAGCCTCTCCTCTGGTCCGGAAGTGTCCCAGGTGTAAGCGTCAAGGTGTAGATGTTTGGCATCCTGGCTGCCCTCGACGCCCCGCCCTCTCTACCATGAGCAGGACGCCGGAGGCGTCTGGTCCAGCTGCAGGAGGCACCCAGCTGGAAGCTCCTAATGTCACCTCTAGTAAGCAGTTTCCAACCCTCGATGGGCTAAGGCAAACAAGCAAAGATACAGAAGAAATTAACTGGTTAAAAAATAAAATTATGGATTTGGAAGCTAAAATACAAACATTAGTGATGAATCTGCCCGGTGATAGTGAAGTGAATCATGCTAGCGATAGTGATCAAGTAAATTCTCCCAGCACCAGTAGTGATGCGAGTGGTAATGTTGCAGCTGCTGAGGCTACTTCACCTGTCTCTACGGAACGTGAGTGTCAAATCCCCGTGAGGGATGGTGTTAGAGTAGTCATTGATCCCTCACTGGCACCCCAACTAGATCGTCAAGACACCCTTGATTTGCTTAAACATAAAGACTTTAGAACACCAACTCCTACTCAGGTTAAACGCCTCCTAAACAAAAGTACTCAGGACACACGGAACAAAATTACTTATGTTCTCCAATTGTTTTACGAACTTAAATGTTACCTTAATTCCCTTGACACTTAACCATGGCTCATCAAACAAAAACAATTAAGTTTCTTTCTTGGAATATTCGAAGTGTTTATCTTCGGATAAATGACGTAATCTTGTATGCTAAAATGAGAGACGTAGATGTGATCTGTTTACAGGAACCATATACGACCACAACTATCAAGAAGGTCCCACCTAGGATACCTGGGTATATAGCATACAACAACAGTATTGGAACTGGTTTACTAACGTATATTAAGAGTGGATTAATCTGTAAACTAATTAAAAATCATAGGAGTGATAGTATACATTATCAAAAATTCAAATTGCAAACTGCAAATAGCCATTTCCTACTGTATAACATATATGGACGATGTAATGTACTTAAAGCAGACCTGCTACCGAAACCTACAGGTAACACAGCTATGTTATGTATGGGTGACTTTAATGCTCGTCACACTGCTCTTGGTGACGTTCAGTGTAACAATAATGGAAGGGTCTTCTTGAAATACCTTAATGATCATAATATTACTGTGTATGATACTGATAAACAGACCCATTTATTGGGGGGTAGACTGGATTATGTGATTGGATACAGCCTAGTAGATAGCAACGTCAACGTTAAGCTCATCCCAGAACTAGTAAGTGATCATTTTGCAATATATTGTGAATACAATGTGGCGGATATTAGGTCCAATCCTCATCCTAGAGTTAAAATTAACATTCCAGACAATCTTAAACAGCACTTTAAGGCTTATGTACATAAGTGGTACACTGGGTATACACCTGTATCAGTGGACCACTTTTACAATGATCTTGTCAGTATCATTACCAGTTATTATGATACCTGGGTTAAATCAAGGAAAAAAAGAACACTCGTTCTTCCTCATGGACAGAGGATCCTATTATTATTGCAGAGCGAGCTAAAGTGCTTCAGCTTGCTGACTCTTATAAACGAGACAAAACAGCTGACAATTTACTTGCATTCCTTAATGCCAACAGAGATTTTCGCGAGCTTAAGGGTCAAGTTAAGAACACATATTGGGAACAATTCCTACAAGGTATCAATAGAACTACAACATTATCAGAAATGTGGAACAAAATTAAAAACATTACCAACCTTCAGCCCCAGTTGAGCTTCATCATACTCCTGCAGAATATGCTGACATGCTCCTAGCTCAATGGTCTAGTGTCTCACAAATTTCTTCCTTACCCCCAGATATACAGCAGCATTTAAGACATACCAACATTAACAGAAACTTTAATATTGAAATAGCACGCTCCTCACCAGATTTAACGGATCAGTTTCCTATAACCCCCTTTGAATTAACATCAGCATTAGGAAAACCTAGGCAAACTGCCCCTGGTGAGGATGGTATAACTTATAACATCTTGAGCTTACTGAATGATGTCCCTAGCCACCCTCTGCTTGACCTCTATCAAATGAGTCTCTCACAAGGTATCTTGCCAAAGAAATGGACACAAAGTCTCATAATACCAATTCCTAAACCTAACTCTCAAAAATTCAGACCCATTTCCCTTACATCTTGCATGTGTAAAGTCTTGGAGAGAATTGTTCTCAATCGTGTCATGTTTCAGGTCAAAGAAAAACTGGCCCCAAACCTATATGGGTTCATGCCCAAGTGTAGCACACAAACATGCTTTGCTGAATACTTTGTAAACTCCCAGGATGGGACACAGGCAGCCTTTATTGACCTAAAGTCAGCTTTCGATGTAGCGAATGGCGAAATAATATTAGAGCAACTTGCTGAATTTGGAATCAAAGGTAATCTTCTGAGTTGGATAAAGAGCTACCTATCCAACAGGCGTGCTAGTGTCCTATTTAAAGGAGTTAAAAGTACAAGAACAGATGCATTCGAACTAGGCACACCTCAAGGCGGTGTCCTAAGCCCTATGCTCTTCAATATACTTATGCACAAACTTATCCATGACATACCTGTACAACCTACGGAAACAGTTATATGTTATGCTGATGACATTTGTATTATGGCACACAGTAAACCAAGGCTACAAATGTTACTTGATGCATTCTCCAAGAAAGTAGTAGAATGTGGCCTCATAATCTCTGTTGATAAAACAAGGGTTCTTATTCCCCATTCTCTTCATGCTAACTATACTATTAATGGAGTGCCCGTGGAGACTTGTGAGTCTTATAAATATCTTGGAGTCGAGGTTAATGATACAAATCTCATCAGCAACCTGCGTAAAAAACTTGTTGAGCGTCTTAAACCTCTCAGAACTCTTGTTGGCAAAGGATTTGGCATTAACATAAAATATGCTCGTAGTTTTTATATTGCCTTTATACGATCTGTTGTTGATTATTATGCCTTGCATCTTCTTAATTTTTCTCCTAAACAATTACAAGGCCTAGATGTAGTACAGAATGATGCCATGCGCATCATCCTGGGTTGTCCTAGAACTGTCAGAATTGTTAACATGAGAAAGGAACTAAACTTACCTTCCATTTACGAAAGAATAGTTCTACTTAGTACTATGTTTTGCGCCAAAACTTTGAAAAATAATGGTCCCCCCAGCTCTATTCAAATTAAATTGAGATCCATTCTAAACAATTCTGACTGTTCCCTCAATCCGCCGCAAAAAGCTCCCTACAGTGTGTGGCTCAGTTGTTGTGTCTATAATCTTCAGAAACTGAATGTATCTCTTAACCCTGATAAAACTGTTCACTATATTCCCCCTTGGAAAGATGTGGAGGTCTCTCTGCATTATACTCCCATCAGTGTAAAACAAATGTATAACACTGACATTTTGAGATGTATAACATTAGAAGCTATTGACAGTCATCTTCAAATTCTCAAACCGACTGAATCCTATGCCTTTACTGATGGCTCTGTGCAGTTAGGCACTGGTAGAACAGGTTGTGCATGTGCAGTGTATAAAGGGAATGAAATGATCATGACTAGTACACAGAGATTGAACAACTGGGCAAGCACGACACAGACCGAGCTATTGGGTATTTATCTAGCCACTGAATAC